GTCTTTCCCGTACGACCACCTCAAGTATTCTCGTAGGAAGCTGAAGTTTCGCAAGGATTCGCCACGGGATTTGAACTTGAGATGGCCAGATAGGAGAAGAGGTCCAGCATTGTCGGGCAATGGGGTTACCGCTGGCAAATATGAATCGAGGTCTCATGCTGATGGTTTAAATGGTTTTAATAAGCAATTAAGAACCAATGCTGCCAAGTCTAACCTTAGATATGGCAACAAGTCAAGTGAAAAATTCCAGTGCACAAATAGCAGAATTGTGGATAGCTATGATTCACATTCCTGCAGCTGTAACTATCACCTTGACTACAGATCAAGGTCTGAACCACATATCGCTAGAGCAGGCCGAGGAGATCCCAAGTGTGCCAGTAAGCTGGAGTCGCCTCCCGAGATCTCAAAAACGTTTAATCGTGGCAAAAGGTATACTCAAGTGGAGCCTGCACGTGATAACAGCGGCCGACTTAAAAACAAGATAATTGCTGGCACCACTCCCAATATTAAGAAAGTGTGGGAACCATTGGATTCACAAAAGAAGTGCACTCGCAGCAACTCGGATTCTGACGTCACCTTGAGATCCACAGCCAAAGTCGAGGCTTCTGAATCCGATCAAATCCCTGAATGTTGTTCCACCAGTTCTGATGAAGTGACTGATATTTCAGTACAAACCAATCACGAGGACCATCATGCGAGGGATTTATCAAGATCCAAATGCAGAGATACTGACAGTAGAATGGAAAAGCCCCAAGATTCGTCAATGAGCAACTCGTCTAACTCTGATAACGGCTCGTCCTGTCTTAGCGAGGGTGACAGCAACATGTACTCAAACCCCCAAAATCTTGAATCAACATCTCCTTCAGATGGAAAAGAAATTTCCAACTGCTTTGAAAGTAGTTCGTCTTACAGAGTCTCAGCAGAAGATGAGAGTGCATCAAGGGGGCAGGACGGTAAAATCCAGGAACCCGCCTCAGCCACAACAAATTTGCTCGATAATGTTCCTAAGGAACCCACTAAATTTGGCGAAAATGGGAGAGCAAGCATCAGAATAGGCGCGCAGCCTCAGAGTGTTGTTCCTCAGTTGCAAAATAGAAATGTCAACTACCCAATTTATCAAGCACCCACGATGAGCTATTATCATCAGAATCCGGTTTCTTGGCCGTCGAACGGGCTGATGTCCTTCCCCCACTCCAATCACTATTTATTTACCAATGGTTATGGTTATGGTTTGAATGGCAATGCGCCATTCATGCAGTATGGGGCCTTGCAGCCTCTGGCCCCACCATTGCTTAATCATTCTCATGTTCCTGTATTCCAGCCCGTTTCTCAGGTTAGCACAAATGAGCCCACCCATCTACCTTCTGCTACTGATCTACCAGAAATGCCAAAAGCTGTGGACGATGGATGGAGTGCAAAGGCTGATAAAACAGATATGTGTGGTAATGGTTTTTCTCTCTTCCATTTCGGAGGCCCTGTAGCTCTTTCGACAGGATTCAAAGCTGATCCCACATCCTTGAATGAAGGGATTATTGGGGATAAGGATAAGTCATCGGCTACTGGTCCTGATAACGATAGTTCATGCAGTGAGAAGGATCCTGTTGAGGAGTACAACTTGTTTGCTGCAACTAATGGCATAAAATTTTCCATCTTCTGAGGTGGTGTACTGTAAGCAAGGAGTCTCTCCTTCTTGTTCTTGTTCCTTTATTTTATACCGGACCATGGAAGCTTTGAAGTTTGAACAAATTCAGAACCCTTATTTTATTTTATTTTTCCTTTATACCCGAGTGATGATGAGTGAATGCGAGGTTTGAGTACTTTGTAAGTTGGTGCGAAATAATTCTCGTGAGAGAAAATTTTAGCGTCGTTTACATTTTAGTTTTTCTTTTATCGGTTTCTTCTTCCCCCTCTCCCTCTATACTTTGGTGTTTTGTATTGTGTTTTTTTTGTTTCTCATATGCAAAGGATGTATTGAGAAAATTTCATCATGTTTGAGTAGACTGCAACTCTTCTGCCTTGATATATGACTGCTTTCTAGTACACATTAAGAATACTTTCACTGTTCAGGTGCTTTTAACTTAGCTGGTTTCAAAGTAAGAATCCAATTAGATGACCGTGACATACAATATTCCAGACGACGGCTCGAAAATACAGAGATATAGGCTCACAATGGATGTGAGCTATGTGTCTGTTTATCCGTAGTTACATTGGAAATTAAATCTCGAAACTGCAATTTATATAATTCAGGTTCATCTATATACTCGACCACTTCAAAAGAATGCTCTGGGCGATAGGATCGATTTTTTCAAAATTGAGAATGATGTCAACTGTCACGAGAATAGACCAGATTTGCCTTTAATCGTAGCTAATAAGCATTCGTATTTACATTCTTAATTACGGATAATTTTTATGTGAAAGCCAAAAAGTTGTATTTTTCTTGTCAGACACCAACTGTCTATGCTTTGATTTACATTGATAATTATTAATTTGAAAATCAAGGTAGTGTTTATATGTGCCGAATTAGAGACGTTAGTTCATTAGAAAATCAATATCTCAAATCCCACTTTCTACATGGTTTAATCAATATCAATTCGATTGTGGAGTTTTATTCAACTCTCACTCATTTTCAGATCCCAAATTTTCTCCGGTGTTTAACCTCTCTATATGCATCTATATATATTGAAAAAGAGAGGTCAATAAATCAAATGAGGAAAGTTTTAAAAAAATTGCAGTCAACCAAGTTGACTTACTGAATATGGCAACCATTTTAAAACATCAAAAAATAAACTGTGGCCGTATGAAATCTGTTTTTTATGAAATCAATCGTGAGGATTTTTAGGAAATATGTTCTTAAAAATAATTCCCTAATTTTCGGATAAAGAATACATTTAAAATGATTTCATTTAAATGAGCATCCAGAATTTTAGGAATAAACTGATAGAATCCGATTTTCATTCACTTTCTCAAAATTTGGTTAGATATTGATCTATGGAATAAACTGATATATCCAGAATTTTAGGAATAAACTGATACAATCTGAATTTGCTAATATGTAGGCAAAATCTATGGAATAATATAATACCGGCATGGTCTCCAGACTCTCCACTGCTTCCCGTCCGACCTCTTACACCTCAAATCATCAGGAATTCCTAAATTGTCCTCACCACCCCCAACTGACCTTGGACGATCCATTTAAAAACTATCCTGGTAGCAAAACCATATAAAATGGACCGACTACACACAAGAACAAGAGTAAATGAGACATCCTGCAAGTTCACTTTTTACAATTCACCAAACCCCTTAGAAATTCGAAAGCCCCAAAACCCTAATTCGAATAAACAAACAAATGCCACCTACAAATCCAATTCGAATCAGCACAAACGGTAAACTACCTCACTGAAACAAAAGCCCAAATGAGAACACTAACAGGCGCATACATCTTATTAACATCAAACACGTATAAGAAAAAAGTACCAAACATAATTAAGCACGCAGAGAATCTTCAAAAAGAAAAATGAATTCAAATTAGAGTCCCATTGAGAGCGAGAGACAGAGATGCAGAGTGCCTTGCGAGCGTGGATGATCTGAGTTTCTCGAGTATTTTCGAGCTGCAAATTAGAGTTTTCAATCCCTCTCTTTGTCTGTATTTGTCGAGGATGAAAACTGAGGCGAAAAAACCAACAGAGAGCAGCCACGGTTTGCGCAGGGTGTGTTTTTTACTCTCTTTCAACTTTTCCACTTTACCCGTGGCCGTGAGGCTTTCAGTTTCAGGATTTAGCATAATAGCATTAAGGATAAAATTGGATATATGCACACAGGCTTGAACTTAAGTAAATAGTTACCAATGTATTAATATCTTATGTTCAGAGTTATATAAGATATGAGCAATTATTTACATTATTTAAGTTATATGAAGGTCTAGCGTAAAATTTAAGTTATATGTGTTTTAAAAAAATCATGGTTAATGGTGTAAATTATTTACAAAAGTAAAATTATTAACACAAATTCAAAACATAACTTTTGCTCAATTCATAGCAAGATTCAATCTTGGTCTTTGGGTACTCATCCAAAAATATTTATCTTTAATATAAAAAAAAAAAAATTAACTATTTATCTTTAATAACAAACCGATCTTTATCCTTATTAACAAATCATGTGTTCTCATATTTTGTTCATGCGTTCTCATATTTTGTTGGGTACTCATCCACATGTAGATCGAAATATGCGTGAGAAAATTACAATATATAAGTACAAATAAATTTAGAAATCAATGGTAAAAATCTTATTGACATAACTAACACAATACTATAAGAGAAATGATATCTCAACATTAATAACAAATCACTACAATTTTCTATTTTTTCGGTAACATGCCATATACAAAATATCATTTATTCAAGGAGTTCAAAAATATCATTTGAATTTATCAATAACAACGCCAAACCAATTTTTTAAATTTCATATTGCGATTCACAATATCATATAAATTAATAGATTAGAAAGAAAAATTAAAATATTTATAATATTATAAATATTAAGAAAAAATAAAATAATATTGATATAATTTAAAATTAATATTTTTTTTAACTTCAAAATAATATATATTATTTTGTTTTCAATTAAGTGTTGGTTATAATATTTGCCACAACTTTTCAACTTTAGCCTAACTTATTTAGAAATCGAAATAATATATTATAACAAGATATGAGTGAGAGAAAATAGAAGGAGAGAAGTATTATGTCAATATTATTTAATGATAATAGTTAAATATTTTAATTTTCTATTATCCTTAGTTATAACCGGATCTAAAATTACAATTATTATATAACGAGTGAAATAAACATATGCATCATATATTAACTTATTATATATCATAAAATAAAAGAAAAAATAAATATCAATATTCAAAATTATTTTTATACTACTTAATATCCCTTCATTGCTTTAATTACATACAATTATAATTATTGCCTCGTGCATCGCACGGGCTACGTACTAGTACAATAATCTTCAAGCCAACAACTCAGTATGGCATACAGGCAATTACATTACAAGCAGCAAATACAAGTGTACAACAACATGAGTAGACATTTGATAGCTTAAGGGTCACTACTGGGGAGTTTACTAAGAATCGTGTGTTCGGGCTTATGATCACATTCGTAATCTAGATGAACAAATGCCCTCTCGACTTCAGGCAGTTCTTCAATCTTTATCTGCAGCGATTCCCCAACGGCATGAGCTTCAATCAACGGCAAGTCCTCTGGAAGCTCTATATCAACCTGTCAATCAATTCCAAAATTAATATGAAACTAGTTCGAAGAGCGCATTTAATCCGATTTTGCTTATTTCACAAAAAAGAAAAACAAAGGACATGTAAATAAGCTTTTACCTCGACAAAATAAAGAACGCCAAAAGTGTAAGCACGCACTGTATCTACACGCTTGATCTTCGAGTCGTGCCTTAGAACAAGATAAGTAAGTTTTTGCAGTACCTCCGGAGGGGCAGATTGTCCGACAAGTGAAACTGTAAAATCAAACGCCGAATTCGATTATTCATAACTTCTTCATGCACTGCAAATGAAGTTGTTATATGTCAGAGATAGTATGAAAAGAAAAAAAGAACCTGCATTTTCCAGCACAGTCCCCGACCAATTCGTAATAGTGTATACGGCTAAAGCTATAGCGCCAGCTGGATCGATCCACCAGTAAAATCGATTTCCAAGAACAGCCGCCACCAAACCCACCACGTTCGTCACCACATCGAAATAATGATCCTACATATCAGAATAACATGTGAATGTTTTTTAATTTTAATGAACAAAGTGGAAAATAAAGAAAAGGAATAAACCAAAGGGACGCAAAATTTGAAGTGAAATTACCTTAGCATAAGCACGAACAATCTTGTTTCCCGAGCTTCGGCAGTAAATCCACAGAACAAATTTTACGGCTGTTGCAGCTAGCATAATCACATACAGCCATAGCAGTTGATATGAGGTCATTTTTTCCGAGGGCTCGTGTTTGATCAGCTGCTCAACGGCCTGTATTAGCACCTGAAAGCCTGAATAAAAGAACTTTAATATCAAGAACCCACGAATCGTTATTTCAAAATTCCACATGGGACACTAGTTTTTTTGCATGTTTGAGGTGTTTAAGCATGGAAAAATGAAAAACCAACCAAGAGTTGCCATAATGGCAGCAAAGATGATGATCCCGACCGGTTGAACTCGCAATTTTCCAATAGGATATTTATAGATGTTTATGCTCTTCATCGACAAGTGAGTAAACCATAATATTCCGCCAGCCATTAGATCGAGTAAAGAATCGAGGGTTGATGCTGCAATGGCCAAAGACCCACTTTGTACTGTGGCATAAATCTGAAAAAAAAAAAAAATCGAAGTGAAATGATTTAGTTGAGCTAAGTAAGTTTCAAGAATGGACTTTATCAAATTTTTCCAAAATACCTTAAATGCAAGGAGGAATACATTAGCCCAATTGGAGATATTCATTGCTCTCTCATGTTGTGCCTGTTCTTGACGATCAATTTCTTCATCGATCACGTTTGGTGAGTCGAGCGAGTCAACTTCCTCAAATGACCTCAATGTGGCAAATTGTCTTTCATAATAATCCTTCTCACCTGAAACAAATCAATCACTCTCATAGTACAAGCTATATTGAGACNATCACATTATTAAGAATGCAGGTTAGATAGATCACTTTGAAGAGCATCTTAATTATTTTATATGTTGAATTGCATATGCAAACACTATAAAGATGAATAAATCTTATCATCACCAATCATTTCTATCTTTTGTTGGTCATAGCTAGACAGCTAAAACAGAGCAAACCAAGATTATTGAAGAAGGAAAAACAAAAAGGCGTTACCTGGAGTTAAGCAAGATGAATTAGAAAAATGAACATGAAAAGGGGCCTCAGGATCAAGCTGTGACTTAACTTTGTCAGGCAAATTAGACAAGAAATCAGATTTGAGGTTGTTGATTGAGTTTCTACGTATTTGTTTCGTGGGATTCGGTTTTTCCGTTGTCAGCAATGGCGTTTTTACGTCCATTTTTACGATTCGAGATTTTCCTTTGACTTTGTCATTGGGATCAATCAAAGGAAATATTTTTTCTCATATCTTTAGGACATACACAACATGTGTGCAACAAAAATTTTGAGCTTTCTCACATTATTGTATTGCAGGCCGAGGAGAATGAATAAGGAAGATTCAAATCAATTAAACACCAAAGAAAAGTATAAGAGGGCAAACTCAAATGAAGGAGGAAGATAAGAGTTTCAAATAATTTTTGTTGTTCCTTTTTNATGAAATATGGCATCATGGCAGCGCCAACTACTATTCTTCATTAATTCGTTTGTATCTATTTTGAACTTTCTATATACTATATTTACTTTTGGCTTGAAAAATGAATACAAATATAGATTTAAGAAACGTAAGAGTTTGTTTGGTAAACACCATAAGCTACATTATAATTAATCGGTTGATTAGGTCACTTAGCATGCAATCATATATCTTATTTACTCTAATTAAGTCTTATAAATATATAAAAAGTACAAGATGTAAACTGAAGGGATTTAATTTATGAAAAATTTATTAATTAATTTACCTTTAAGCAACCCTTTAGCAGCTGAAAGATCAAAATTAAGAAGGTGCTCAGGATCAACTCCACACTTCACCTTATCTGGCAATCTCTGAAGGAAATCACCAACTGTTGTTCTGCTCATCCAATTCCCCTTCTCAAACCCTTCATTTTTTCTTATAAGCTCTCCTTTTAATGGCTTCCTCAAATCCTTATGCAACTCATCCATTATTGCTCTTCAACATTAACTGCTACTTAACCTAATGTATTTTTTCATTCAAACTGAAATTTTAACCTTTTGGAGAAGGTAAATTAAGAAATATATGTTTGGAGCTAGCTAGCTACATATGTGCTCTTTTTTCATTATTAATATAACTAATTTTTAATTGTTATGAAAAATATTTAGATACAGATGAAAGTGCATTTATATATAGTCCATTACTGTAGCTAGCTGGTGTGTCAGATGTGTGTTCCTTGCAATTTAATGCAACGGTGACTACTCGTTGAATAGCCAATTAATTAATTAGGCAAATAATATATAGATATGTTGATATGATCAAATTGTTATCAACTTCCATTCAATTTATGAAATTTTTGGTCTCCTTTTGTGTTCTCTTGATCAATATATATATTTTGTTTTTATTTTTTGTTAGTGAGGTAATGGCAATATGTTAAGTCAGCTCGAGTAGTTGGCCCATATATAGGGTGGTCTTAAGACTTCTTGAATCATTTGTATTTTATTTTTTAGGAAACTTTACTTAATACTTTATAATTTATATATAATATAACTATAATATTATTCTATTATATGTATATATATATATATTATTATAAGTATATAACTATATATATCGGCTGGAACAAGTCGAACACGGTGCATGTAAACTCGGCCGGATACAGGTTGAAGCCAGTTAAATTAATAAATCTATCATTATATAAAAAGAATAACCTTTTTACAAATTTAAAAATTTTTTCCCGTCAAAATCATTAAATATATCCTACATATAGTAATTGTTGGACAAATCTGAATAGGCAAAAAAATCGGCTCATTAATTGTGTAAAAATTTGTTTCTCTTTTTTACTGGTTTTTAGTTTATCAAAACCGTTGTTTGACAATAAATATTTATTTTTCTTTTTCCTATTTTTAGTATAAATTTACACGAGCTTATCTCTTCTTTTACAAATTCTCATTGCATACGTGTGTTTAAAAAATCTCATCCATTATCTATACAGATTTGAAATAATAAAATAAAATATAAACCAATTCATAATTACTACTAGAAATCCATTATCTTTAAATAAAAAATAAAAAATAAAATAGAAACCAATTCATAATTACTACTAGAAATCCATTATCTACTTTAAGAAGAAATCCATTATCTACTTTAAGAAGCTAATTTTCATCGGTCTAATTACTAATATTTTTACAAATATTATAAGCTAACCATACAAAAAAGTATAATAATAATTTTGAAATAGTGTGTAATTAAATTTTTTTATATTCTCTTATACAAAAACCCCGAAATTTTAATTTATAATTATTAAGTATTGTTTATCCTCCTCTTTAATATATAATTATTTTTTTTTCTCTTTTTAAATAAGATCAATAGTAATTTCCACTTCCGGCATTGAGTGACTCAAACTCGAGGTCTATTTATAATATTGTTCCCGTGCATCGCACGGGGTACACACTAGTTAGCTAAAAATGAGACGTTAATATATATAAGATCAAATCTCTGGGATTTCAATTACTTAAAATTTAAAATTGAGTGTTTGGTACGTCTATCGTAAATACTATAACTTATGTGGACATGAAAAATGCATGTTAAAAAATAAAAAGAATACTTGCATTAGCAAAATAATTAAGCTTACAATTATTTAATTGTGCTATTGAATCTTTCCTTTTCCAGTTTAGTGCCTACTTTACATATTCAGATCAGCATAAGATAAGATGAATATCAGAAAATCAGTACATACAAAATAGACCACGTAATTAATCTGCAATACAAATGTTGCAAGGAGTAGATAGATATATAGTACTACTCTTATCATCAAAATTGACGATCACACTATTTTGAGGTACATACATAAATTTTTTTTTTTTTTTCATTCAATACATAAATTAGATGTGACGTGATGTTTGTTAGTTGTGGGCATTTATTTCTGCAATAAGTTCTTTCATCATGCATGCAATGCAATTTTATCATGTCTTCTAATTAATGCACGTGTGGATTATTGAATAATTATCAAATTGATTAAGCTATAAATATGCCTTAAATCACGAAATTATATTGTTCGATTCACCATTCATCTGAGATCTGCACAAATCAACGAACCATGAAAACGCTTACGAATTTGGATGAGTCGGCAAAGGCGTATATATATTGATCTCCGTAGGTGTAGGTGGAGAAGAAAGAGACGGTTCTCATTTTTTTATATGGTTTAGTATGTGCGGGTCTTTGGGCCTTTTCATTTCAAAAACGATGCAAGCCCAATTTCCTTTGAAAATAACGTATATTTTTGTCAATGGGCCTGCCCAAGGGATTTGTAATTTTTATGCACAATAATTTCTTAAATTTTTATCATAGGCTTGCTAAGGCTAGAACTCATTTGTGCTGGAGCCCGAGTTTAAATATCAAGTGTCAAAAGTTTGAGCTTGGCTTTTATGTGCACTGTGCACACATTAAACAGGTTCCAAACATATACAATTTATACAAAATACTTACAAACCAAATTTAATGTAAAAAATAATAAAAAAAATTAGCAAGCAAATATTATCAACATTGAAGTCTGAAGAGGATCATACAAAACAACAATAACATCAATCTTAATCTTCCACAGTAGTTGGCAAATACATATATCATCACCACAGTCCATGTACACCACACACACACATATGGCATAATCAGACTATATATAGCTTATTACCATCAACAACAACACAGGTGAAAAACAGAGCCATACTTAGCACCACAAACATGGAAAAAAACAGAAAACGATCACGATGACCGACAAAATTTCATCACCAATTAATCGCAACCGTATCATGAGCAGCAATATATATTATTCTTAAAAAACCTAACAAACTCGGAGCAGAACCTCGTCATCTCCTCTTCCGGCAAAGACACCAAAGCATTCACCGCCCCATCTCCAGTCGGAAAAACCCAACAAATATCCTTCCTATGGTTCACAACGGGCCCACCGTGCACGGGCCTCCCCCACGGATACTCCACGCTCTCAAACCCTAGCCTTAGCCACGAGCTGACCATGTACTCGCCACACGGCAGCCCCTTATTGATCTCCAGCCAGTCGATCACCGACCTCGCGTACTCGTCCGTCACTCTTGCGGGACCTTCCGAGACCATCCCCACAAGCTCGGAAAACGGAAGCTTCTCCATCTCTCCGCGCTTGGCCGACGCGTAGGCCACCAAAACCGCGTTCCCACAGTACGAAAACAGGAGCGCAGGATTATTCATCCTCGAACGGAGGTCGATCACGTTGAGAAGCGTGCAAGTCCCGTTTTCGTCGTTTTCTTTCGACAGGGCCTTGCAACGCCATATGAGGGCCGTGGCCACGTTGAAGCTGCTGATTAGTTTGGGGTTGGTTGTTTTTTTCTTTTGTGCCTCGTTTTTGAGGAAATCGATGTGGGCCGGAGTTAGTTTGAAGACGTTGAAGGAGAGTTCCTCTTTCTTGCAGTCGAAAACGGGAGGGCCGCCGGAGGAAGGGAGGTTTTCGGGTTTGAAGAACTCCGGGTGGTGGAAGTCGGCGTGGGGAGGTGAGCGGGCGGCGAGGAGGCCGCGGTCGAGGCAGGGGAGGACTGCCAGCTGTCGCCCCTCAGGGAAGCATTGGGATGCGAGATTCTCGTTGAAGGCTTTCGCGCTTAGGCCGTCTAACAGAATGTGGTTTACGGACATGCCCATCGCTAAGCCGCCGCATTCGAATGATGTCACCTATTTGTTAAATCAACAAAATTACCAACCAAACAAACACAGAGGAGGAGGGAAAGTCATTATAAATAAATACGTGCCAAAATTGCATTAATTTTAGTATCAAAATTCAAACTTTTTGCTTTTTATTCCTGTTGTGATTTAATATTTGAAGCAATTTAAGTCGTCTGGAGACAGAAATAGCAACAAAATTTTAAATTACATGACTTAAAATGTATTTTTAGTCACATTGGTTTAACGTCATAGCAATTTTAGTCTCAAGATTCAAATTTTTAGTTTTTTATTAATGTGATTTAATATTTGAAGCAATTTAAGTCATTTGAGTACTGAAATTGCAACAAAATTTTAAATTACACAACTTAAATTGTTAATCGAAAACTTGAGAATTTGTTGCAATTTCAGTCATTGCGGACTGAAATTGCACCAAAATATTAACGGTACCAAAAAGTAAAATATTGGAACATTGAGATTAAAAATGCAATTTCGCCTAAAATTGAGTAAAAATGCAATTTCGATTATATTATATATTGGTTGAACTCAGCTTGACAACCTGGAGAAGGAGTAGAGGCTGATCCTCTATGCCGGGAAGAGTCTGACGAGCGAGCTGCCGGAAAATGGGGTTGGGGCAGAGCAAGTCTCCGAGCTCCGGCAAGGTCAAAGCGGATGAAGCGGCCACAAAACCGGCTCCGGTGGCATTGCTGGATTCGATGACGAGGCGGCCCGTGTCGGAGTTCAGCTTAAGTCTTCCGGCCACAAAATCGTAGGTCTCGAGAAGCTTCTGCAGGGCTGACCGGAGCCTATGGGTGGCGGTCTCCGGCGGGTAGTCTTTGTTGGGGGAGAAGAAAAAGACGGTGGGGATGTAGTAGTTGAGAATCTGGTCGATGTTGGAGAGGAAAAGAGATTTTTGATGATTTTCCGGTGGGAATAAGAGTGTTGATTCCTGAATTGTGAGCTTCAGGTCTTGGATGGCTGGGTTGGGAGAGATGATCGCCATAATGTGTATATGGATTGTTTGTTATGAAATTGGATATATGGTTTTGTTGGCCTAGGATGAGAATGTGCGATCCAATTTATAATACAATGGGCACTTATTGGATTGATTATTTTTTAATTTATGTGACATCATTAATTAGAATAATTCAAGTTTTGTCAAACTACCATGTGGATCATCATGTTGTGTATATATAATTTATAAAAAATATTATTTTTTTTTAAAAAACTAAAATAATTTAATTTTATATAAAACATTACTTCGGGTTTTAATTAAATTGTCAAATTATATTTTTTTAATCATAATAATTAAACACCCGTACATTAAATAAAAATGTCAACCCGTGTTTAATTTTTTTACTTATATCATATAAAAATATCGATATTATATACTATTACATAAGTACAAAAATATATATCTTAAATAAATAGAAATAATATGATGATATGTATATGCATAAGTGTCGAGTTTATTTAATATTAAACAAAATAGATTAATTTTTTTACTTAATTAGATGCATAATACCAAGTGTCGTATCAGTCGTGCTTCACAGTTTTTTAACTTTGTATTTTAGAATTTATATAAATAATTATTTATTTTTATTACATTGACAACATACCAATTAAATTTGAAATATATATCATTTTTAAAAGAATACATACTAATTTCTATTACTTTATAATATAATTTATAGTTTTATTTGATATAGTTTAATTTAGTTTGATAAATAAATTTAAATTTTATTTATAAGGATATATATTATTGTTTTATATTATTTATATATATAAATAAATAGTAACATACAAACGGACTTCATAATATCAATTCAAATGCAACACACCAATTAAGATTTTTTTTTTCTTGACGATATTAACCCTATCTAATGGATGTTATGAGAAACGATGGAGATGGGATATGAAGAGACACTGCGTATTAGATGGAGGGTTAAAAATGGAAAAATATGAGAAAAATATCTAATACGACATTTATTTTATCAATGATCAATTAAGTCAAAGTGACAAATAATAAAAATAGGAGGGAGTATATATTATTATATATTTTAGTATGACACATGTTACGACTTATATGTGTTATATTATAATAAATTTTCTACTTTATAATAGATAACTACATTAAACATAAATATATTAATTGATAATAATTTTACTTTCTAATTAATATTAATAAATAATTATTTTATTATTATAAAGATAAACATAATTTATTTATTTTATATATACAATATGGTATGCATGGCTTGAGTTGGACTAGGATCCATGACCATAAAGCGAATAATGTATTATTTTAGGTACGTTTGATTTATTTATTTATATATTTATACTGAGGTTTCAGGCTTGCGCCTGACTAGTCCTCGAAGAAACAGCTCCCGGCCCGGCCCCTCAGAAACTGCCACAGTTAAACTGCGGTAGCCACGCAATGGCTCCCAACTTCATACCCTCAACTATCGCGCACAAGGAGTCGATCCCCAAGTGATTGCTCGCTGGCCCTCCCAGCTCCAAGTTGGCCCCACCTATCCAGCCGCGGGGTCCCACCGAAGTGATTGCTTCATGCTAGCTCCCCAACTTTATGCTGACCCCACCTATCCCAAGTTGGTCCCACCTATCCAGCCGTAGGGTCCCACCGAAGTGACTGCTTCATGCTAGCTCCCTCAACTTCATGCTGACCCCACCTATGCCGCTTGAAGTCCTCAGTATTAATTGTTCCACCATTGCGTTTTCGGGAGACTTGAACCCTTGACCTCATGTCAAGATACTTCACTCTCAACCACTAGGCCAAGAGGTCATTGGCATGTTGTGTATATATATTTATGTGTGTCATTGTATACTACTGAAAAGAGTATTGGATTATTAATTTGTTGGGAAAACCACTATCATATATAGTGTGTTTGAATTCATTTATCAAAACTTATTGGTGCTATTTATTTTGTGATTATGAGGTCAACAATGGTTATTCAATTATACTTTTCCACAAATGTTTATATTTGTTTTTATAAAAAAAATGTCACTCTTTAAAACAATATTAACAAAAGGATGTCCTTTGTAATATAAATGTGTATTTTTTTTATATATAAAAATATAACGAGTCAACTTATCTAATAATTAATGAGCGAATTTTACGCTAGAATGTGTCCCAATAATTGGTTGGAATAGTTTTTGTTAATAGCATCGTGGAAAATGCCATTATCATTCTTTATATTCTATTCAAAATTCTAAAAGTTTCTAATATAAGAAACAATGGGTCAGCTGGCTAAAACGTTGATATCCGTAGCAAACTAATGCAATATTTAATTGAGGTCCAATAATGTTAGAAAAGTCAATGGCATTGCTGGTTCTGGTGTGCTCATTTATCGCCAAAATAATGATAATCATGACGGATTATGGTACTTAATATATATAATAACCATTCGTAATAATACAAGTAATGTTTATAAATTAAATTTATTCATTTCCCATTTGCACGACCTACTTGAGGGAAAAGAACTAACTATTATTTCAGAGTCATTTTTCGACTGGACAAGAAAAAAAATAAAAATAATAATAAGAAAGATAAACCTCTGTGGTTTCTGACACAGAGACAGGTGTAATTAATTGCCCAACTATCTATCTGCAATGTATTNCACAATCATTGAGCAATTTGCCTGGAAGCTTGCTTATACGCAGACCACAATGACAAAGGTAATTAATTAGATGACGTTAATGAAAGATGGGTGGTATTTAGACTTTAGAGAAATCATGAATATGTAGTATGTTAAGACTAAATTAAAAATTACATATCACAATTCACAAGTCATTATCTAATCGAAACCTTACCTAATTACCTTGGTAGTTGGGTATATACATACATAATTTGCCCATATCATATCAAATATGGTTGTTAGCCCGATGTTACGTTCCTTTATTCAATCAAAACTCATTTGTGTTATTGCGTGTGTGAACTCCATCAAACTGCCAACAGAATAACAACTCATCTTGGCATAACTTCATCTGTTTACTTATTTCCACAGATTTCTGTATACTCCAGAAAAAAAAAACTTTGCATTTAATTGATTATGTTTCTCATAATAACAGCACATTTAATTAATCTACTATGTTGTGTGAAGTTGTAATGGCGACTCTACTTCAAAGTCATCATTTTTTTCTTGTGCAAGCACAACATGATAAGACTGCTGAAATATATACACATAAGAAACAGAACCAGCAATAATGGGCTGGACCGCGACCGGCCCGCACAACTAAATGAATGTGGCCCACATTACGTACTGTTTTTGGGAGACATGAAGAACATCTTGATAGATCTTGATTTAACCTTAAGCGAATGAAATCGCTTAATTCCAAGAACATTCATACTGAATAATCGAGAATCAAACTAAATAGCGGAAATGTATCTGATGGATTTATGTTGACTGATTGCACTAGACTTGAGTTTGGGACTGATTGCACTAGACTTGAGTTTGGGATTTGGAAATTTGAGATTTTCGAGATCTTCCAAAAGACTGTGAACTTTTTTCTCTCTTATCTTCTGATATATGAAGAAAACTTACTGAATAGAGAGAGTGGGGTGCGTTCCTCTTATTTATCTTAATGAATAATTTTAAAAGACCCTCTTGTATTTATCACGTCTTTTGGGATTCCACCCATAAATAATTTTGACTCAAATTATTTAATAATTAGGTCCTTAAGATTAATATTATTATTTGTTACGTCACCAAATAATAATATTAACGAGTGTCCACATTTAATCATTCCATAATCTAAATTAAGTTCCTTAGCCAATGTAAAATAATTTGATCACTTAATTTGGCTAAACAATATAATGACCCAATGTATCAATTATAAATATATAATCCAAAAAAATAGATCTAACAATCTCCCACTGAATTAAATATGTGTCCTGATAATACATTATACCTTATGAGCTCAAAATATGGTTATTATTACAGAACTTAGACCAATTTAATCCATTAATCACAACAATATAGAACTAAAGTAGTTTTCGCCGTATATAGACACAACTAAACTATCAATAATGACATATATCACCATGATTAAATGACATAGATCGAACTGTGAAACATGTGACATGAAAATTACATGAATGTGATCAGCACATGTCAATTTCCAACTAGTCCAAATTTAATGAGATCGTTAATTACAAAAATTCTAATTTGAGAGCCTTAACGAACTAAGTCAAGTCCGATTCATTAACTAAACAGGCCAAACACAAACCTTAACAACCAAGTCAAATTCATGAGCAACTCATATCGTTTAAGAGCTCTACTTTAAATGAAATACTTTAAAATAAAATAAATTAAAAAACATGATTAATGCAATTTGGAGATGTTATAATACAGTTAATGCGGTATAAAAATAATAAAATAATAATTGAAAACCAAAAATGTATAAATGAATAGTAAATTTTATATTAAAAAATTATGGCAACCATTAATTTTTAATTTCTAAGTTATATTAAAAAGTGTGAATAGACAAAATAGAGAAAATAAAATGAATGATTAGTGCGTTTTTAATTGTTTGATGAGTTAATTGAGTTAGCTATGTATCCAAATAAAAGTAATAATTAGTGTGTTTTTAATTAGTTGATGTCTTGATGACAAAATTGATTTAGATATATATCCAATTGCACCGTCAGTTATTTGCTTATTAAACATTATTATTCAATTAACCACCATATACTATGTCAGCTAAATTATTCTGCCATGTGTATCTCACTTACCTGCTTTTGCCGGAAATAGCACAAATTCGATGCAGTTGGAATTCAAACGGGATCAATTTTATAGTTCAATAATTTGAGAGTACCAATTCAATATTCAAGAAAAGTATCAGGACCATTTTGATAATTTATCTAATTTTGATTGACGAGAGAATCACAAGGACTACATTGTCATTTCGACTGCCACTATTTTTATTTAATGGAAAATTTGAAATTGAAGTGCGCACACATGAGTGAACGAATGTTATCACGACACGTATCCTCCGTTGACACGGATAACCTGCGCATTGACCCACTCCCCCGCGTCACTCGCCAGAAAACCCACCAGCGGCGCGATGTCCTCCACGCGGCCCATCCTACCCAGCGGACAGTCGGCCACCGCCTTCTCCTCCGCCTCCGCCCTCCCCTCCCCCTCGTAGAACATGTCCGTCGCAACCGGACCCGGCGCCACGCAGTTGGCCGTTATCCCCGTCCCCTTCAGCTCCTTCGCCAGCACCTTCACCATCGTTTCCACCGCCGCCTTCGACCCGGCGTACGCGGCCAGCAACGGCTTCAGCGACGCCACCACCGACGTCGTCAGGCACACGATCCTTCCCCCGCCGCCTCGCTGGATCCGGTTCGCCGCCTCCCGGCAGAGGAGGAACGCGCCGCGCGTGTTGACGGCGAAGGCCCGGTCGAAGTCCTCATCGGAGGTGGCGGCGAGCGTGGGGTACTTGGAGATGGTGACAGCGGCCGAGTTGACGAGGATATGGATCGGGGAGCCGAACACGGACTCGGTGGCGTCGAAGAGGGACCTGACCTGCGCGGGGTCGGAGATGTCGGCCTGGAAGGTGACGGCGCGTGGGTGGTCGGCGGGGGAGGAGGCGTTGATCTGGGCAGCAGCGGCGTCGGCTAGGGCGGAGCTGGAGGTGGAGGCGTAGTTGATGAGGACTTTAGCGCCGAGGGAGGCGAGATGGATGGCGATGGCGCGGCCAATGCCGCGGGAGGCGCCGGTGACTATGGCCACGCGATCTTGGAGTTGCTTCGTGTTGACGTTTGATTCTGCTGCCATTGATTTGATATTGGGATTTGTTTGGATTAATATGAGATGAGATATACTACTTGTTAGCTCATCCAGTAAATATAGAAGAGTAATCAGTAACGTTATGAGGATGATGTCACTGCTTAAATCATGCAGTTACAATAGTCAAATTCCATGTGAACATAGGAAAAATGCATAAGCAGTCTTTGAATTATCACACTCTGCATTTGACTAGAGAAATTTTCTAAAGAAATGCAGGTTTTTGTGTGCATTTGGAATTTGTCATATTTTTTGTTTAAAAATATATATATTTTTGTTTTACTTAATTAGAGTTATTGGAAATTGTATTCTTTTTCAACTTACGAGTGATATTTTTTTGAAGATTTTTCAACTTAACAGAAATTATTGGAAACTTTATATTTGGAGGTTGAATTTTGTCTAATAGTGGAATTCTGTCTGAATTTGGTATATATATCGTATCTTTGAAATTTTAATAAAGTTTAGAAAGTTCAGACCCTCAAATGAATAGCAGACGAAAGTTATAAAAAATTCAACTAGTCAAAGGAAAAATTATGTTTAGGATGTGATTGATTTTTTTTCAAATCCGTAGTTTAGTATAGTAGCCATGGGACAAAAGAGTGCCAAATAAACTTTGAGACTCAAATAAACAACCTCACCAGCTCACAGCTTAGCCAAATTTTTGCACACATTGACAATTTCCACATTACATATGCTAAAAACAGAACACAGTTTGAAGTCGTAGAGCAGAAAACAACTGTTTTTTTTTTTCCTAATCTTTGATATAATGTGAAGACATTTGAGCATGTTCTGCCCTACTGCAGATGGTATTTACAGAGGCAAAAGAAACCTTCACTTAGCCGATTGCACAATACAAAAATAAGAAAACGATAAATGCTAGCGATGCAAAGGCAAACTCCAGTCGAGACCCTCCTCCGGATAGTAACTCTTGAGCATCTCCTTGGGAGGAATAAACGAGTCCAGCGATAGCCCCGGGACATTAAACGCCAGATCATCAATCACGTACGTCTCTTCCATCCTAGTCACCGCCCTCAGGCAATCCCCGAATCTGGTAATAACGACACTCGAGTGGCCGGAGTGGGCAATCATCATACCCTCCACAGCCCGATAGTCCTCGATCCTCGTGCAAGTCGAGGTCTCCCAGTACATGGGTCGGGACCCGGGAGTTTGGACCCTCGTCAGATACGAGTCTTCCAGGTGGACAAGCAAGCCGCTCCTCTGGCTGAAGTAACCGACCGTCACGTGCTTGATCATCTCTGCTGAGCTGTCACTTCGCTCTGCCAGGTCAGAGGGCTCGGCAGATAGCTTCAGCATGAAGCAATCGACACCCGACATATGCTTCTCACCCATGTACTGTGCCGTGGAGAACACGCACGATATAGCCACCGGGTCAAGTCCCTGAATTAATATTTTTTGCTCATGAAAAAGTAAAAAAAAAAAAATGGGTGTTTTTCTTTTTCTTTTTTAGGAAGATTTGCAATAGATTTTGTTTTTATGAGCATTCAAGGCAATTAATTTGTATCTTATTATTACAGTAGAGGTACCTATTGATTTGCACCAGCAGTTATCATTGTGGTTGGTGCCAAGTATACCAGCAATTTAGCTGCAGAGTAAATGTAGTGTAAATAGTTCTCATCCAACAAGTGAAGGACTACTCTTAATTGCTTATATTGACAAACAGACTATATAGCATAAGATCTTAAATTGGCTAGACCCCAGTTGAAGCAATGAAAGTGATCATTATGTGGGAACTATAAAATTTTCAACTTTCACCAGAAAAGAAATTATTTTGCTCTCCAAGTCAATATGGAAAGGATGGATGTATGTGCCATCAATTGAAAAGAAGGTCAAAATGTACAACAAACAGCCCTTACTCAGCCTACATAAAATTGGCTAACATTCTATCTCTGTGTTTCTTCTCCTTTATTTCTGCACGGTAGTATCAACAACTGTATAATATTTGCCATATTGATATGCAAAACGAATTCTGGGTTTCCATACATTACAATTTCCAAAACTCATTAGGCAGGCCAACAGAGAATCATTTGAGATTCAAGAAACAGATTATAATCACCATATATAAAGAGCAAATATTTAAAAAAAAAAATCCAATATTTGGGACATAAAAAAGAGTCGATTACTTGCCTGAAGAGCACGTCTAAGGGGCCGAACACCACCTTTCGCGGCGTGAGCACCGAGCCAGGGTGTGTGCCGCCAGGCCACATTGCCATCACAGGCAGCCACAACCTTGTGGCCACCGACAAAAAGCTCGATCAACCATTTATCGGGCATCATTTGCCAAATAACAAAGCAACCCTTCTGAGTTGACTCACTCGCACTGCTAGCTCCGGTGGCGGCTGAACCGGGCTCGTCCACCATGGCCATTGCAACATTCCCGGTGGCATACATATTCTTGACGATGCCTTCCATTTTCCGGCAGCCGGTGGCTGCCGTGAAGTGCTGAATTATGTATTGGGGAGACGAAGACACCTATGGGAGTAGTGTATTCAAGTCTCAATCAAGAAAAAGTGCAGTAAAGATTTGATTTTTTTTTTTATATTTTTCTGAGTTCCTTTTTGCAGTGGGCGCAAGCATTTAGTGCATTTTTAATCAAGTGGGAGCTCTCAATTGGTGTCTTAGATTTCAACGTGGTGGTTCATTGACATTAATTTTGACGAATGAAAGATGTAAAAATTCAAAGAGGAAGAGCATGAGGCATTAATTTAACCAGAAATTAGTGGGGTGGTCTCCAATAAAATAAAGCAGAGATTTTGAGGTAATAGTCCAGNAGTCAAATATGTTTGCATAAAGTAATTCTATGTGCAATGTGCATCAGTGTACCTTTACAACACAACACTTTTTTTAAATCATTGGGAAAAGCAGAATATATAGAAAAGATCATTCACCTAAAATCAATAGCCTTGAATGAAAACCCGTAAAAAAGGGGGGTAAGGAAAAAAATGAGCTTACTTGAGTAAGGGCGTGTTTGGGATTAACAGAGAGAGGGAAAAGAGGGCAACCCATAACACTTAGTAGAATCTTGAGGTCAGATTTCTTGTTGAAAAGCTGAGGGAAATGGTTGGATAACCAGTTTCGCCATGTTTGGGCTTTCTTGGTCGTCCAGTTTTTCTTTGAGTTTTCTTCGTTTATAGGCTCTTCTGATACTGGCGCTAGCCGGTTCATTTTTCTTTTATATATATATATATATTTTTTTTTCCTTTTGAGTTTGTGTTTGGTGTTAAAAAGGAGGGGAACGACGAACAAGTGACTGGTGAATGAAGAGGGAGTTGAAAACTTCAGAATTATAAAAGATCAGACAACCACTTGGATTTCACCTTTTTGCTTTTTAGCACTTGCATTCTATGCGCGTGAGCAAAAAGATGTTCTTTTTTGTTTAATGGTGCAATTAAAATAAGGCCAATACTTACGGCCCAAGCCTTTATCGATTTGTTTACCAAAATTAACAAAATCTCAAATTTTAATAAGCTAAATTCAAGTCTCAATGAGACGAATTAAGATAAAAAAATTAGAAAAAATATATAAAAACTTTTATTTTCAAGTCTTGACAAGTTCAGAGTTCAACTTATTTCACTTTGATAGAATATCACTTGTGAGTTGTTCCATATCGTTTATATAAAAAAAAATAGGTCTAACTTATAAGTCTAGTGAGTTACTCCTCCTTCCACCATTGGTTTTGGGATGGAACCTCACTTGGGCTTCATCTGAGCTCACTCTATTATGGTATGGTGCGCTTCATCTGCGTGGGACCGCACTCATTATACCTCGATTCTTATACACTTAATATCTCTAATTTTAAACTCACAAATTTAACTTTTTCTTAGATAATTATATATGTGCACCCCCACCTATTAAATATTAGATTTTATTATTGAAATATTTTATCTATGTACAATATACCAAAATTTTTCATGTGTTAAAAAGCTTTTGTTATTAATAATGCAGTGTTTATCTATACACAATTTACCACGTAATTTTCCGCGACAAGAATAATTGACAGGCTTATGTTATTTTTAACATTTTATTCTTGTCATTTTGTATATTTCATTATTGTCATTTGTATATTACAGTTCAAATAATATGCTTCTCAATAACATAATACAATTTAGAATGCATGCTATGTCTTTTCTTTTACAATTAACCTATTGCTTACAAAAATATGGTTAAATTGCCAATGGAATAAAGAATGCAATTTACTTTGTCAATAATCCCTCTTTTTTTAAAACTATATACTTTTCGAGCCCTCCTTTGTTGCTTACTTATTAGAAAATTAGTGCTTAAAAAAGTGTAACTTTTTAGATCCCATCCATAATGCTTTTACTTTATTTTTCAAGAGAGATTTTAGTCATTATGGCCACACACACTCTCTTAAAGTGCCTCACATATAAAATCACGTTCATTCCTGTTGCTTAATATTAAAAAAAAAATTGTAATTAATACTCGATTATATGTTTTTAAAATAAGTAATTGCAATAAAATGAACAAAAAAACAGTATAAAGGAGGGGCGCGTGAGTGCAAATCTGTAAGGTTTATTATATGTCTGTTGGAAATGCTTGGAAAGAGAAAAAAACTAAAAGAGAGCTTTTAAGGAAGGCAAGTTAGTCAATGCGTCTCCATCGTTTTTAATTATGGGTCCTTCCCTATGCTAAAGTGGTAAAGTTTGGTGTTCACTCACTTATTGTTATAACAATTAGCACTAGAGCTTTAAAAGAAATCAACTTGCGCTTGAGTAGGCCCGTAAACGAGTCAAGTTGGGTTTGAACTTAGGGTGCTCGAGCTTGAATCAAGATCGCGCTCGACTATTTATCAATAATAACGAACCGAATACGAGCCTTAACGAGCGGATCTCTAGCTTTAACGAGTCGAACTATACAAAATTATATAAAAGTTATCTTTTCGAATCTTATCGAGCCGAGCCGAGCTAGTCTCGTTAATCAAACGAGTTTGAAATGAGCTCGAGTTCGGCTCGTTTATCACACGAGTCAAGCCGAACTCGAGTCGAGTCGAGCCAGACTTGTTTAATTTAATAGCACTACTCGTGAGCTCCATTCAATTTATTTTATTAAGGCTTGTTGGGAAACAACAAAACCTGAAAAAATTTAAGAGCAAAAACTCATAGCCGAAAATGATTGTGTATTCATTGCTTTGATGGAGAATACTCCCATGTACGGCATATAAAGGTGCAGAGGCACTGCAAACCCTAACCTCTAAGCCTGTGACAAAAGGCCAGGTAAGAGTGGGCCATGCTAGCACATGCAGGTGAAACAACCTAAGGATAAAGATGCAAGGGTACAAGAATGAGCTGTGCTAAAGGACAAAGGATTAACTAACTAGTGTCATTAGCAAAAGATCCATTAAGATTNTTGTCGAGCTAACGGTATAGTAAGTATGTCGGCTACCTGATCAAGAGATGGAACATGTTGGACTTTGAGCAACCGCTTTGCTACCTGATCTCTGACAAAATACAGATCAATTTCAATATGTTTGGTTCTAGCATGAAGAACCGGTTTGCTGGCAAGTGAGATAATACTAAGATTATCGATCCAAACTGTTGGAGTACAAGGGAGAATGACATGAAGTTCTTGAAGAAGAGATTGCATCCAGGTGATTTCAACAGTGGCATGAGCAAGGCTTCGATATTCAATCTCGGTGCTAGAACGAGAAATTGATGTCTGGTTCTTAGAACACCATAAGATAGATTTCTGCCCAGAAAAATGCAGACTCCAGTGGTGGATTTTCGATCATCGAGGTCCACACTCCAATCAGAATTAGAGAATCCAATAAGATTAGGACAAGTGTTCAAGTGAAGACCATGTGTGAGAGTACCTGCCAGATATCTGAGAATTCTCTTGGCAGCTTTGAGATGGGTGTCCATAGGTGACTGCATATATTGACACACTTTGTTAAGAATATAAGCTATGTCAGGCCGTGTTATAGTGGCATACTGCAAAGAGCCCACAAGGCTTCTATAGGCTGACACATCAATAATTGGGGTGCCTTGATTTCTGGATAATGCAGGAGAAGAGAGCATTGGAGTAGGAACAACTTTAGCTTCAATCATATGTGCTTTCTTAAGAAGATATTTAATGTACTTTGTTTAAGACAAATGAATGCCATCTGAAGTTTTAACCACTTCTATGCCAAGAAAGTGATGAATGTCACCAAGGTCCTTTAAGGAAAAGGCTTGACCTAGCTGTGTGATGACATGTTGAACAGCTTGAGGGTAGCTCCCTGTTACCAAGATATCATCTATATAAACAAGTAACCAAATGGTGATACCATTCTTGTGCTGAACATACAAAGAATTATCTGATTTTGAGTGACTGAAACCTAACTTCTGCAAAACAGCTTTTAACTTCAAGAACCAGGCTCGAGGCGCCTGTTTTAAGCCATATATGGATTTGTGAAGTTTGCAAACCAAAGAAGTGTTGTTAGAGGATTCATAACCAGGAGGTTGCATCATGAAAAGTTCTTCTTCAATGTGCCCATTAAGAAAGGCATTGTTGATGTCCAGCTGCCTAACTGTTCAATTATGTGTAAGGGCAAGAGAAAGAACTACCTTATAGTAGTTGGTTTAACCACTGGACTAAAGGTTTCACTAAAATCAATGCCAGCAGTTTGACTGTACCCTTTGCCCACTAACCGAGCTTTTTACCTAGCAATGGAGCCATCTGCATTGTACTTGAGCCGAAAAATCAATTTACAACCAATGATGGATTCTGTGAGTTGGAGGAGAAACTAGAGACCAAGTATGGTTAATGATCAATTCATTGCACTCAGTATCCATAGCAGCTTTCCACTTGGGATGTGTAATGCTTCTGCAAGGCATGATGGTTCTTGAAGATCAAGGTCAGTGGCTAGGTACACTTTGGGCTTTAAACTGCCTGTTTTGGACCTTGTTACCATGTGATGATGACCTGCTTCTTGCACTGCATTGTTAGGTAAAGAAGCAGACATATGTGGATTCACAATTGGCAGTTCAACAACTAAAGGAATGGTGGAGTTACTAGAAAGAGATGAATGAGTTGAAAGTGGCAATTCAGGAGATGAAGAGGAATGGCTGTGATGGGAGTTAGAAGGAGAATGATTGGGCATGGTTGGGTGGGATTGATGAGTAGGAGATTGATTTGAAGTCATAGGAAGGTGGTGAGATGAGTTAATAATTGGAGGTGATGACATGTGAGGAATGAAAAAGACATATGTATCTACAGGAGGTCCCTTTTTGTGAAAATGAAAAAGGTTCTCATCAAAAATAACATCCCTTGAAACAATGATCTTCCCACTAGGTAAGAGAACTTTATATCCCTTGTGCTTGGAGCTGTAGCCAAGAAAAGTAGAGGGCAGGGATCTTGGTTGAAGTTTGTTTTTGTTATAGGGTCTCAGGTTTGGGAAACAAAGACAGCAAAAGACTTTGAGGATGGAAAAATTAGGCTTGTGTTTGTAAAGTTTTTCTAAGGGTGAGCTGTAGTTTAAGGATTTTTTGGGAAGCCTGTTGAGAATGTAAATGGCAGTGCTAAAAGCATCATCCCAATATTTGAGAGGAACTTGGGAATGAGACAATATGGAAAGTCCCATTTCTACAATGGTTTTGTGCCTTCTTTCTGCCATACCATTTTGAGATGGTGTATAAGGGGAAGAAATCTTGTGTTGAATTCCTGAGTCAGTGAAGATTTTGGTAAGAGCCATGAATTCTCCTCCACCATCACTTTGAACTGCTTTAATTTTGTGATTGAGTTGATTTTCGCAAGGTTTTTAAAATGCATAAAGGCATTAGAGACATCAGATTTTTTGTGAAGGAAATAAATCCAGGTGAATCTTGAAAAATTATCAATAAACCAAACATAGTAGTGAGATTTTGATTGAGATGTGATGGGTGAGGGATCCCATACATCTGTGTGAACAAGTTGAAGAGGGGCAGAGTAGTTAGAGGTTGAGTCAGTAAATGGCAACACATGAGCTTTAGCTTGCAAACAAGAACCACAAATAAACTTTTCATTGCCAGAACAAGGAACATTACAACTTTTCATGACCTTGGCTACCACATCTAAAGTTGCATGTCCTAGTCTAGAGTGACACAGATGCATATCGGATGTTTTATTACAGAAAGCTAAAAAAGTTCTTGGACTGAGGAAGTTCATGGAAGTAGAGTTTGAAACAGTCTTGATAGGATGATGGATTTGAGCATCAAACATGTA